CCAAGGGCGATCCAGACCCTCGTCTAGCCAGAGCGGCAGCACCTAGGCGCCTCCCGGCGTCGCCGCCCAGGCCGCCTCGCTCCTGTACCACTCCTCCCACCCAGGCCCTTCCCAGATCATGGTTCTGAGCAGGATCTTAGGCCGAGACCCCCGTCCTCCCACAAGCACGGCCCTGAGAGCTGGTCTGTTGTATCCAGGGCTCAAATCCAGCTGTGTTCTTCCTCCCAAGCCAAAGAGGAAGACAAGCTCTCCCAGTGGGTGTGACCCGCGCTTCCAGCCGCAGGCAGGCTGGTTGCTGCACAGGGTCCCCCACGCTCCGCCGGCCGCAGGGGCTGCGCTGAAGAGGGGTGCCAGGGAGGAAAAGTGGGGCAGGGGCAGGGAGCTGGGGATTCTGGGAAATGGCTCACCCACCCTGCAGGCAATGCTGCCCTGGAGCCCTACCTACGGAGGGGCGAACTGCAGCGTAGCACTGCTGGTGGGCGCGCGGACGGTGCGACCTGTACGGAAATCAACGTGGTGAATCCACAAGAAAGTAGGATTAGAGGCCCCATTCAATCCTTCTGGGTATTCTTCCAGAAGAACTCAAAACATCATACCACAGCAATGTACGCGCACCCGTGTTTATAGCAGCACAATCTGTCATAGCTATATCTTGGAAACAACCAAATGCCCATCAACTGAAGAATGGATTAAAAAGATGTGGTATTTTTATACAATGGAGTACTGCTCAGCTATAAAGATAAACTTGAGGATTTTGTAGGTAAATGGATGCAGCTAAAGACCATACTCACAAGTGAAATAAATCAGACCCACATGTGTAAACATCACATTGTCTTCCTAGTGTAAGAACCTGAAAGAGCAGATAACAGCTGAAAGGCACAATAGATGTAGTGAAAGAAAAAGAAACTGAGCATAAGAAAGGAACAATTGGGATGAGAGGAAGGAGAAAATACAGGAAGAAAGAAAGGAGAAAAAATCATACATATATACACAGGATAGCTAAGATGATTGTACTACTAATTTCTGTCAGTATTTTGAAAGGAGCAGTTAATGCTTTAAAATTTTTACTTTGACCGTTTTATATGCTTGTATCTGTAATCTAAGCAACTGCACTGAAGACAGCAGTGAGCAACACACAAGCTCTGCTGAATGCCTCGCGTCTTATTTTTTAAATTGCGTACCATTTCTAAAGTCTTATCTAATTTTTCTATTCTCTTTATTTTTTCTGTATTTTAGGGAAGGGTCTGCAGAGTGTTCAGGGTCTCACTCCTAGACCGGATTTGTAGTGATTCGCCTGCTTGCAGCCTCCCAAGTGCTGCGATTACAGGTGCCCTCTGCCACGCCCAGTCTCAGTTGTCATCCCGAGAGGCAGGCTGGGGGATCGAACCCTCAGCCTCTCCCTCTGCATGCAGGCACTTTAGTCTGCTAAGCTATTTGGCTGGCCCTCTTCACTTTAAAGTTTAAAAAAAAAAATGCAGCATAGCTCTACACACTGGAGGAGTGGGAAAGGCTGCGTGTGCAGATGAGTGTGTACTTGTGCATGTGTTCATGCATATGACCGTGGACTGTGCACATAGGTGTGCGTGCGTACCTGTGTGTCCTGTGCATCGTGTGTCTCTGTGCACTTACAGAAGCATGTATTGTACATGTGCATGCATGCCCTTGTGTGTATACATGTGTGGATATTGGTAGGTTTTGACGGTGTCGCAGCAGAGAAACAGGCAGACGGGAAAAGGGAAAGAGGCTTCATTGTCCTGGAGGACACGGAGAGAATTTGGGAAGATAAGGAATTCTCTGGGGTGGCACAAAGGGAGGCTGAGGCTTTCACTGCCTTTTGTTAGGGGCGGGGCTTGAGGGGGACGTTTAGATACACCTGAGGGGCTGACTGGGGCCTTCCGTGAGGTGGCGGGAAGGGTGAAAGGAAACTGCACCCTGGGCTGAGCTGGAGAAGAAGGGGGAGGCGGTCTCTGGGAAGATGAGCTGTTGTTTTAAGGGCTTCGGCCATATTGGATGACCACCCTAATAATTCAGCAATTCATGCCAGGGCCAGAACCTATCAGATATGCCAGTGTACATTAGTGCATAGTGTGGTTGTGTGTGGGCGTGTGACAATGTGTCGTGTGTTCCTCTATGCATCTGTGTGAGCATAAGTGTGGAGGTCTTGTGTGTGCACACCTGTGCACATGTAAACGTGTGCATGTATACATTTGTGTGTACACATTACGCACGTGTGAATGAGTGTTGGGATGTGCATCCATGTTCCTGTGTGCACACGAGAGCCTTGCGTGCATTGTGCTTGCGTGTGTGCATCTTCTGTGAGTGCTTGGGTGCGCATGAGGGTGCACAAACATGTGTCTCTGTGTGTGCTACGTGCATGTCAGGCGTGTGCCTTCCACGGTGCTGGAGCCAGCGTGGTGACAGAACCTTGCATGGCCGTGGCCGCACTCTGTGGTCATCCTTGTCCTCCAAAGTCCAGGCACACGGAGGGATTTCCCCAGAACACCCAGGAGGAGAAGAAAGGCCGGCAGGGTTCCAAGCTGAGGGGCAGCGTGTCTTCATCCGGGCACCTCCGGAAGCC